TAAGTGGACGTCTGAGGCCCTCATGAGTCAGTAAAATTATCCAGAAAAAACAAATAAATTTCCTTTGCTAACCCCAGCGGAAACCTTTTCTACCACAAGGAATGATTTTATTGTAGCCATTCAGAGGGACAGATTTGCAAAAGCAGGACACAGCTGTCTTCTAAGTTTCCTGTAATTTTCCCAAACATCAAATTTGAAAATTTCCAGGAGGAGTTCAAAGGAGGAGAAAAGATAAACCTGTTCATTTAGGGGAAGTTAAATGGGTATCGTAATGCTAAAATATTAGCACAGTGATCCTTCTCTGGGATGAACATGATTTAGTAAGGTCCTAGCTTAACGGAGAGATAGTAAGGGACTTTTCTGTCATGCTGCTCCAGAAATTGAGATCCTGGCTCTCTACTCCTCCACGGGGACTTATAAAGTATCTCAGTGTATTTTAAATGAGGGGAAAAAAAATACAAATACTCTGTCGGCAAATCCTTTCTCATTTCATGTCAATATCCACCCCTCCCATCATCCTGTGTTGACAGGACCGATTTGCTAAAGGAGAGTTTAACATTACAAACATCCTTTCATCAGCTTAAAAATTGAGGCGAGTCAATATTTACATCATGTTGCTGATCTTGAAAGTACATACCCTGTTTTCTGTCCTAATAAATAGCTGTCACTCTTGCCTCCATCAGAGCTTAGCGGAGAGTGGGTTTGCCTTTTCAGTGGTCTCTGCATTCCGGGAATGATCTAATATTTCAGGTCTCTTCTGTGGCAGCAGGTCGATTTCTTTCTCTCGCTCTTTCTTATTGGTTTCCAATGACAGACCTTATAAAACCATTTAGGTCTGCTTAGAGAAAATAAAATCCATAAGCATGCTGGGTTTATCTTTCACCAGAAAGGCATGAAATCTAATGCTTCATGAGTGAAGATAAGCAGAATATGAATATAAATAAGCAGAATATAAATAGATATGTACTATCTATTTTGCAATGCAATGTTAAGGACATATTTTTAGCCCAAAACACTGGATGGGACTTATCATATTTCTAGTGCTTACCAGTGAAAAGGAGTCATATCAAACTGGGACAATGAAAAACTTCCATCCTTTCCCAGAGAGTCCATGACACTTGTACACTTGGCCACAATACTTCTTTCATCCAGTAAGTGCTATCACTCCTTCCTGGGTAAGTTTGAGTACATAATTACTCAGGGCACAGTTATTCCAATGGACACACATTGATCATAAAGGAATCACAAGATTTTTTTTTTTAACTTGTTTTATTTTTCTTTGGTTGCTATTGCTGTTGGTTCAGGAGCACAGAAGAGTCTAGGACAGAAATGAGTATTCTTTTTGGACCACTTGCTTCTCAGACTGCAGAAAGCCAACCTCATAAGAGCTTGGTAAGCACATCTGATAAATAATAATAATAAGCAAATGGGACAGAAAGAGATAATTTGAAAAAAACACAGAAGTGTTCTGAAATACTTGAAGGGATATTTGCTTCACAAAATGTGATTTAAGAACTCTGCGATAAAGAACAGTTGAGGGTAAGAACTCTGACCCCAAATTCACACAGCCTCTCTGGAGGCAAAGTAAGAAAAGTGAAAGTGAAAGTCGCTCAGTCATGTCTGACCCTTTGCGACCCTATGGACCATATAGTCCATGGAATTCTCCAGGCCAGAATATGGGAGTGGATATCCTTTCCCTTCTCCAGGGGATCTTCCCAACCCAGGGATCGAACCCAGGTCTCCTGCATTGCAGGCAGATTCTTTACCAGCTGAGCCACCAGGGAAACCCCAAAATGAGAAAGTGACATCAAAGCACATGGTCCTTTCCTGCATTCCACTGCTTCTCTCAGGCTATGCAAAAAAGACACGATCTGTGAACACTCAACGGGCGTGATCCTGCATGAGCTGGAGGGGAATTTGGCCATAATGCTGCAATGCCGTAGAGGGCAAGGTGACCCTTGCCCCAGACTCTGTGTGTGTGTCTGTGTGTGTGCACGCGCACACATGTGTGTGTGTGGGAGGAAGGGGATCAAGTTCCAGCTTGATTTCTTCTACTTCAAAAACTTGATGATGCCTTGCTCTAAGAAATGATCTTCATTCACTGACAAAACACAATGATATACTGACCTGTTTAAATGTCATTTTGTAAATATTAAGACCAAGTAAGTGCAAGGATTTTAAAATCGGCAGGTTCAAATAAAAGAAAACTAAATAAAGTATAAGAAAATGGGCAACCCTTGATGTCCTCTGAAATCCATCTCTGAGCTCAGTACCCCACGCTGAAGTCTAACCAAAAAACATTTCCATCTGGCTGATGATTCAGCTCTTGCTATGGATTTAATGTCAGCAGGTATTTTTGAGTTATAAATGACACTGAAAGTCACTTCTTATGCCTTATCAATAACAGTGCCCAAACAACCAAGGTGAAAAGAAAAATTCTACAAATAGATTTGCAGGAGTTAAAAATCCTCAAGTATAACTGGGAAAATGTTTAAACCATCAGTTATAAAGGACACTTTAATAATTATATAAATACATAATCAATAATTAATTAGGCTATTGATTGGTTATCAGCCAGGTCAATTTCAGTCCTTGACCCCAATTTTTTTCTGGGTATTTTCTCTTGTAAGATAGGACAAAGTTGTCTTTTTTCTTTCTCTCCATGATTCAAGGGTGCTGGTGAGAATTTTTTTTTTAAGATCTTTTCACATTTAATGGCTCCTTTGTTTTGTTGTAGCTTGGCACAGTGTATTAGCCATTATATGATGAGTTTTTATTATTATAGTTTCTAAAGTATGAGAGGAAATGAGATAAATGATTAATGGCAGAGTAACTTAAAGCAAGATGGAATTATATGGAGTCATTGAAAAATAGATGGGAAATACAGCTTCCCAAATGGAATTTGGTCCAGCTCCAAGGGTAACAGTCTTATCAAAGGTGCCACACAGCTTTATTCATGGTCCCAGCAGAAGGGGCTCTCGGCGTTCAGTCTTGGCGACTGCACAATACCTTGTAGCAACAGGAAGCTTCTCAGCCCTGGCACGTGATCCATCCTGTCTCAGAGGGAAGCTCTCTTTGCTCCAGGGCTAGCATCATTTTTATACATCAACTAGTTTTCATTTTGACTTTCTAAAACTGGCTTTCAGATCACTTCTACTTTGGAGATCTTCTTAGAGATCAGTTACATACACTTCAAATGAGGAAGGTTTTGTTTTGCTTTTCAAGGTTGCAAAATAGAGTTTGGTGGATTGATGTTGGTCATGGAACCAGAAGATATAAATTCTCATTTCCATTCTGGGATCACATTTACAGCAGAAGCAGAGGCTACGTCTTTATTTAAAATGCAACCCACTCTGCTCTGAGGGGGTTATTGCCTTGTTGTGAAGATAAGTTGGCAAATGTGTAGGAGTGATTCCAGATGAGAGAAAGATAACCCAATCAACTAGATGAATGGAGCTCACAGCTTATTGTCTTATTGTCTTAAATATCAGAAATTTTGAAGTACCAAGCAGTTTCATTATTTTCCTTCCAAGAGTACAAGTGAATATTGTCTTCCATGACACTTGATTGCCTAGCCCATTCCAACTCACAAAGAGGCAAAATATAAATACGTGATTTTTCCTCCAGTTCTCAGTGAACTGAATCTGATCATAAAACAATAATGAATACGATTATTTTAAACTAACAGTATACTAATAACTAACGGGGAAATTTTTTGATGTTCTGCACACATATTTACTTGAATTCTCAAAAGAATAACATGAGACAGCTTTTATTATTATCATTAATTTTAAAAATGCTGAAACTGAAATCCTAGGTTAGTCCCTTGTCCAAGTGGCTTCCCTGGGACATGAATCCCTCATTTTATTGAAGTTATATTGCTTTTTTAGGAAAATTTTTGGGGGTTCTCACTAAAAATAGATTTCTGAAAACCTCAAATGTCTCTTTAGCTAAGAATTCCCAAAGCAGCTCAAAGAATTTTGCAAGAAGCAAGCTGCTGATTCTCTTCCCTCAGCTTGCCATCAAGATGAAACCTTTCAGAGGAAAAGCTAAAAATAGAAAAGCATTTTTTTCCTACCATGCCCTTCCTGCCTGCCTTCACCCTACTCCACTCATTCATGCTGATCTTTAAGCAGCAAAAAACAAATGGGATCAATCTGGATGTTCTTTCCTAGGAGAAATTCTTCAAGCCAGAAAGAAAGATGATATAGATTAACCATGTGCTGTGGGGGCAAGTTCAATAGAGATAGAGATTAAGTTAAAGCTTAACAAGGACATAAACACCACGTTTGCCAAGCAACACACACAGATAAACAAGGAGACACAGAAAGAGCCCAATGAGAGACTAGCTTCTCCAGAGTAAAACTAGGCTGCTCTAATCATATCTGTGAAAAGAGGCCACATTTCCTAATAGCTTTTTCCATTCATATATAGTTTGTAAGAAATTGATTTTATTGAAGTATAGTTGATTTACAACGCTGTATTAATTTCTGTATGTACACAGCAAAGTGTACATACATATACTAATACATACTTTTTCATTATTCTTTTCCATTATAGTTTATCACAGGATACTGAATATAGTTCCTTGTGCTATATAGCACGACCCTGCTGTTTGCCCATTCTATACGTAACATGTTTTCTTTTTTAATATAATTGCTTTACATTGCTGTGTTAGTTTCTGTGTATAACGGAGTGCGTCTTCATACATACATCCCCTCATGTGCAGCGCTGAGTACCTTCGTACTGTACAGAGTTGATAACTTCCGTTCATAGTCTGAGCTCTGGCCAGTTCATGGACCGTCTCCGCAGTATCACCTGTTAGCCTCGCCTCACGGCGTGCTGTCTGAAATGCTCCTCGGGGACGACGCCAGCGCAGAATCGGGTGCCCTCTAGACAAAGGCCGAGTAGGCCTACTGGTGTGCAGGCCACAGATGACTTACCTCGTCAATAAAAGCCTTGCTGTGGCTTAATGGGCATTTGTTACCTTCTCTCCGAAGAGCACGAGGCGCTGCAGAGAGGGTTTTCACGTCACCGCTGGGCCGCAGGGGAGCTGGTCGTGGAAGCTCGGGAAGAAGGCTGGCGCAGGGGCCGCGAGACGGGGGAAGAGCAGCAGACAGCCGCCACTCACACCCGCGAGGACCGCGGTCTGGCCCTGCGATGAGTCTCCACGGGGAGGAAAGTCAACCCCGGAGGGAGGGCCCGTGACTGTCGTAACTCAGTGCTTCCTGCGCGTTTATAGGGCTGGGTTATTATACAGGCTGTTAAATTGATACCTTAATTACATGCATTGTGGCCAAGTTATGGCTGTCACGAGAGGCATAAATCTGATCTCTCTGACATTCCCTCAACTAGAGCGTTTTGTTAGGATAGTCTTGAATACAATTTTGATGATAAAAAGAGGATCTGCAATACAAAGATTTACTTTACCAGTAAATAAATACTGCAGCTGTTCTCTACCCTGATGCCAATGGATGTGAATTTTAGAAGAATGCAGTATAATCAGGTGTCAGGTTCTGAAGGAAATATATTTGCAGAATTTTTAAATGAAGCTCGCTGTCTCTCGGCTAATTTAATAGCTAGTTCATATTTACAGCCAGTGTAGCAAAGATAGATTCAATTAGGACTTCTGGAAATTCATTTATATATATATGTAGATTATGTAAATTTATATATATATGTGTGTGTGTGTATATATATATATGTGTGTGTGTGTGTGTGTGTGTGTGTGTGGATGTGAATGTGAAAGTTGCTCAATCGTGTCCGACTTTGTGACTTCATGGACTATGCAGTCCATGGAATTCTCCAGGCCAGAATACTTGAGTGGCTATCTTTCTCTTCTCCAGGGGATCTTCCCAACCCAGGGATTGAACCCAGATCTCTTGCATTGCAGGCAGATTCTTTACCACTTGAGCCACCAGGTAAGCCCAAGAATACTGGAGTGGGTAGCCTATCTCTTCTCCAGCAGATCTTCCCATCCCAGGAATTGGACTGGGGTCTCCTGAATTGCAGGCAGATTCTTTACCAACTGAGCTACCTGGGAAGCCCTTACATATATATATATATGTATACATACTTGTGTGTGTGTGCATATATATATATGTGTGTAGTCAAATAAGCACAGTGATAGTCTTTGGAGTAAACAGTTCTAATTGTTTTTCTACCACATATTTGCAGTAACTGATTGGCCTGTGTTAAGGCACACCAGTTTTCCTCACAGCCTTACCACTCTCAGCGTCCACCGTCAGCCTCACTCGTCGTAAATCGTCTCTGACTATATTTTGCAGCTTTCAAGCTACTGTTCTCAAGCAGGCGTCCACACAGGACTGTAAGCAACCAGTCTATGATGTAAATAAAATTTATTTGATCTTCTCCTAGATTGCTTTAAGGTATTAAAAAATAAGTACACACACTTATGGTGCATATGACTATTAGTTTGCGGTTCCAAATTTATCATACAGTCTCACTACTGCATTATATGGGAGGAAGAACTTAACTGTGGAATCCCAGCGAGAATCAGTAAGGCTTATTTAGGTTAAAAAAAAAAGGAAAGAAAAAAACTATTTAGGACATTCTTACTAAGACCTATGTGGAAATAAATGTCCTGAATAGTTCTTTACATAAACTGGTCCATATTATTTCCTATCAAAACTGCAAACATAGCAGGATGTTCCTTACCTGAACTTTGAAGCTATTAAAATAGGTAACAAAAATATTTCTGGAATAATAAACTAGAAAATTACATTGGTGAGGTATAAACTGGGGGCTGGGGTGGGAAAGAAAAGTTTTTGGTATACTCTTTTATACCTACAAATTTTAGTTCATGTGAATGCATCATCTGGCTATAAACTAAGCATTTTAAATTGTTATTGGCAACATTTGCAATATTTTAAAATGTATAAACTGTGTCTTGGTAGGGATGCGATGTACTGAAGTTATAATTATTCACTGCATCTGAAAAACTCATTTTGGGGGTTGCTATCTTAGCAAAAGTATAGTAAGACTATTCCTTATTTGGAGAAGAAGCATCTCCCTCAGTTAGTGGAGAAGATAGACATAATGTCCAATAAGATAGTCACTATTACACATATGCAATTGTGTAGTTTCAGTGTTTGAAATGTGGCTAGTCCGAATTGAGATATGCTGAAATTATAAAGTGTATACTTTGGATTTCAAACACTCAGTAAAAATAAAGAATTAAAAGCATCATATTAATATTTTTATTAATTACATATGGAAATTATACTATTTAATATATTGGATTAAGTAAATACATTAAAATTAATTTCATTTGTTTCCTTTTAGGCTTTAATGTGGCTATAATAAAACTAAAAATTACATAGTCTGATCTTGCAACCCATGGAGTGCAGCATGCCAGGCTTCTCTGTCCTTTACTGTCTCCTAGAGTTTGCTCAGATTCATGTCCACTGAGTCAGTGGTGCCATCCGACCATTTCATCTTCTGCCAACCCCTACTCCTCCTGCCTTTAATCTTTCCCAGCATCAGGGTCTTTTCCAGTGCGTTGGCTCTTTGCATCAGGTGGCCAAAGTATTGGAGCTTCAGCTTCAGCATCAGTCCTTCCAATGAATGTTTGGGTTTATTTCCTTTAGAATTGACAGGCCTGATCTCCTTGCCATCCAAGAGACTCTCAAGAGTTTTCTTCAGCACCATAATTCAAAAGCATCAATTTTTTGGTGCTCAGCCTTCTTTATGGTCCAACTCTCAGATCTGTACATGACCACTTAGCCCCTATAATTTTTATGAACATGGCAGGCCCTTGCATGTTTTGTTTTGTTTTCTTTTTTCCCAAGGAGACTAGAGAATCAAAATCTTTGAATATATGTCCATTCAGATGTCTTCAAGTGTCAAGGTTTCATATTTTGGTTTCTATTTTCAAATAAGGTCCTAACCTTGACATAACTTATTTGTTCTATTTGGGCATTTAATTCTTTCTGAAGTTCAAATACTTTGACTAGTAAATCTGAGGCTTGATCCTTGATTCTTTTTCTGCTAGAAGAAGTGAAACTTCTGCATGCAGATGAAATGGAGTCTAATGTGTCAGCATTAATGAAGGATCAATATCTGTGGAAAGAACAGGACAGAAGAAGTATGGGAAATAGGAAAAAAGTTAAACACCCAGGCAGGCTGACACAGCCTGGGGGGAATCTAGTGGGCACTCCAGAAGAAGATGCTATAGCGCTGCCTGGCTCAGCTGTGGACTGTCACTGTCCTGGAAGGACATAAGCTTGGAAAAGGCAGCTCTCAGGGGCTTCCCTCATAGCTCAGCTGGTAAAGAATCTGCCTGCAATGCAGGAGACCCAGGTTCGATCCCTGGGTCTGGAAGTTCCTCTGGAGTAAAGATAGGCTACCCATTCCAGTATTCTTGGGCTTCCCTTGTGGCTCAGCTGGTAAAGAATCCGCCTGCTGTGCAAGGTCTCGGTTCTATCCCTGGGTTGGGAAGATCCCCTGGAGAAGGGAAAGTCTATCCACTCCAATATTCTAGCCTGGAGAATTCCATGGACTGTACAGCCCATAGGGTCGCAAAGAGTCAGACACGACCGAGTGATTTCACTTTCACAGGAGCTGAGGCAGACCCTGAAATTGCTGAGAACATGGAGATATTTCTTGACAACACACCCTCCAGCAGGGTAGCAAGTCCTTCCCCGATGGGGGCAGGAGGAGGACATCTCTGTGCCTGCCGTAGTGAGCACTCATCTAGAGCACACACACGCAGACACACGCAGACACACACAGAGGGCAAACCTCAAGAACCGACGGCTTCATTCAGAGGGAGCCTTGAGTATGTAAATTGCCTCGCAGTCTCTCTTTGAGCTCTAGCACAGTGACTTTCAAAGTTTGAGGTTTTGGATGACTGTCATTCTACCTATTACTCTACCTGCTATACTGAGGAAGAATCAGCAAAGTTAATTAGGTGTTTGGCTGGAGACGTGAATAAAGTTGTCCGTGTGGATGGATGTCATCCTGCCGGTATTAGCTGATGTGACAGTGATAGCTACCTGCCTCCAGGGCATCTGTTCAGCTGCTGCTTTTATCACCAGGACTAGTCTGGCCAGAGACACTCTCAAGCCCTTCACCAGGAGGCGTGACATGCCCCCGGGTTCTTATTATAAAAAGCAGATGGCTTCTAACAGAATAGTCTAAACCAGTATATCAATTGTCATACATTTGCAAAAATTCAAAGTGTGTTTCTTTCAAAATTCAGAATCACATTTGTTGATGCTTCTGAGCCTGGAAAACAATTTTAGGCACTAGAGAGAAATGAGGGATGAGAAAAAAGGTAATTTTACTCTTCACTGCATGCGACTCAGAGGGTTAAGTCTCATATAACTGAAGATTTTGTGACTCTTTCTTCTGGGACTGTGTGTGAAAGTCATTCAGTCGTGTCCAACTCTTTGTGACCGGTGGACTGTCACCCGCCAGGATCCTCTGTCCATGAGATTCTCCAGGCAAGAACACTGGAGTGGGTTGCCATTTCCTTCTCGAGGGGATCTTCCCGACCCCGGGATCGAACCCAGGTCTCTTTCATTGCAGGCAGACTCTTTACCGTCTAAGCCACCAGGGAAGCTTCTTTCTTCTGAGGTCTACCAAAAAGAGTTATAATGCACACAATTTCTTAAGTGGACTATGTGCCAGTCATTTTATATACTTGATTTTTTTTCCCAAAAATAACCCCACGAAGTGTATGTAGACAAGTCTTAGACCCGATAATGAAATTGCCCAGGGTCCCGTGAGTCATGTGCTATTAGAGGTAGCCACTCTGCCAGACGGTTAGCCAGATGACATCCTTGCATTTGAAGTAGAAAGTGAAGCATATTAAGATTAAACAGTATGTCCACATTCGTGTTAAAATGTTAGTCCTTACAACAGTCCTTTACTTTGGGTGGGGAAGCATTTTATCCCTATCTTAAACATGAGGAACTTAAGGTTCCTAAGATCAAAATGCCTTGCAGAAGATAATATGTTTAGTCATCTAAAGATATAAAAATTAAATCCAAATGTGTATGTTGCCTTCTTTTTGTCCCCAAAAAGGCAGTCACAAATCATGCATAGGAAAATATTATCTGTAAGCTTCTAATAAAACCAGTAAGTCCTAATTGCATATTACCAAACCATCCAAACAATCTTCCACAAATAATTAATTTT